GCCGGGGCACGAAGCATCCGGGGGGATGGAGCATGGAGCATCCGTGGGGCTGGAGCACGGAGCATCCATGGGGCTGGAGCATGGAGCATCCGTGGGGCTGGAGCATGGAGCATCCGTGGGGCCGGAGCACGGAGCATCCGTGTGGCCCCAATGGTGGAATGGGAACACGGAGACGCCACAGGGCCATGAGCAAGCCCTAAAGGCGGAGCAGGGGCACGGAGCTGCTGCAGGGCCATGCATGAGCCCCATGGCAGAGCGGGAGCACAGAGCTGCTGTGGGGCTGCGTGTGGCCTCAATGGTGGAATGGGAGCACGGAGCTGCTGTATCACCATTTCTGGAGAAAACAAGAGTTTCCTTCCCGTTGGGAATGGCCCTTTTCCCTGCCCTCCATGAGCCCTCTCCGTGCCCGGCGCTGGGGATGCCTGGCCATGCCCTGGCTCTGTCCCACGTCTCCATGTGGAAGCAGCCCTGGAGCTGCCGGCAGCAGCGCGAGGATCCCCGGAGCCTCCCGAGCTCTGCAGAGCCCTGCTCCAAGCGCTCCGAGTGCTCCGAGTGCTCCAAGCGCTCCGAGTGCTCCAAGTGCTCCGAGTGCTCTGAGTGCTCCGAGCACCGCCCCGTCCCCAGCGCGCCGGCCCCGGCGCGTCGCTGCCCGCGGTCCCTGCAGGGAGGATCTCGCCCGTGTGCGCCCGGTTCCTCGCTCGGGACGTCCACAGGTCCCTCCAACCTCAGCACAAGCCCCAGAACAGCCCCCGTGGTGGCTCCCAGGGGCGTTTTTGGGGCTTCTTCCTCCCGCGGCACCGTTTGCACCCGGGTAATCGCGGTCGCTCGCTATCACGCTGCAAGCAGAGGGCCTCAGTGTCTGACACCCGTATCACTTTAATAATATCCATTTGAGGTTTTGCTTGTTTTTTCCTCAGGCCAAACATGACACATCCAATAAAAGATGTCAGGAAACGTTTTTAAGGATGCAATGTCCCCTGCGTCGCTGCTGGCATTGGGAGACGCTGTCACTTGTCACCAGCAGCAAAGTCACCGCTTCCCCGAGCGTGAGCCAATGGAGGGAGCCCAAGTGACGGGCTAAATGCTGCCCGTCTGCAGAAACTCGGCTGCTGCAGTGGGCAGAGAGCCCGTGCGCCCCGCTGGGGGGGCCCGGCCAT